CATCCTACGCACTCGTCATTCTTGATAATCGAGATGAATTCATTCTTCGGCCGACCAGCAAACCACACTGGTGGTCTTCCAATCATCAAGAAATCCTCTCAAGTCGAGACCTTCAACGTGCCGAGCAAGGAACATGGCTAGGCATTACGAAGACTGGTAACTTTGCGGTTCTCACAAATTATCGCGAAACAAATACCCACGATAAAGATCATCCTGTACAAGGATCGAGGAGTCGAGGCGGTATGGTCACGGCTTGGTTGACGGCAGAAAACGACGAGAGTACCAAACAATTTGTACACAGGCTATTGGATGGAGATGGAGTGAAAGGTGTCGGCGGGTTCTCCTTGGTCTGCGGGAAATTGCGAAAAGAAAGATCCTCTGACGACCAAATGGAACCTCTAGCAATCATTTCAAATCGCAGCGGAACCCCAGATGAAGTACCATGGGTAGCTGCCAGCAGAGGAGAGGTTTACGGCTTAAGTAATACTTCTTACGATGATCCAATAACTTGGCCCAAGATTAAGTCTGGCAGGGAAAAGGTCTTGGAGGTTGTAGAAGAAGTGTTACTCAATGGCTTTGGAGAAGAGGAGCTAATCAAGAAGTTGTTCGCTGTTTTGGATATTGATACGCTCCCGAAGAAAGATGACAGTCAGGACTTTGAGGAGTATATCTATCAGCTTCGCAAGTCAATTTTCATACCTACAATCGGCCATGCAGCCCCACCTTCAGAAGTTCCAAAAGCGGACGAAATTGCAGCTGCTGTTGGAAAGGTATCGTCATCCAACGAAGAGTCCGCAGTCGAAATGAAGGAGGAGCGGATCAAGGATCAGGAGGAACAAAGACCGACGCCCGAGAACAATAATGTTATATCTGGCATTTACGGTACCCAAAGGCAAACCATCATTCTCGTAGATTGGCAAGGACACGTCACGTTTATAGAGCGTTCATTGTTTGATGAAGAAGGCAAACCCATAGAAAGAGGTCAAGCTGACATGAGATTTGAGTTCAATATCGAGGGATGGAATGGAGAAAGTAAGGGAAATGAAGTATACCCGCACGCAGTGCTATAGTTTGCTAATGGGATGACAGACCACAAAGTACAGTAGTATAATTTAAACCGTTAAACCAAACGATGAACCCTTATTAAGTGCCAAGGGCATGATTACCTAGTAGTAGAACTGGTAATGCTGTTAAAACATGCATCCATCTGAGGACTATCTGTCCATATTCCTTAAATCATGCTGCAAGTTTCATTCGAATACTTCAAAGTTCCAGACGATAGCCATGATCAGTAACTTTATTGATTGACCTAATTTCCGGGGTAAGTGAAGTGAAGTGAATAGGTAGGTATGTATTTGTAAATTCACTATCGATGTCATATATAGCGGCCATATTTTAAGAACGCACCTTCCACATTCTTTTCTTATTAATAAAAGACTTCAATAAATTTCATCAATAATCAGTGATTCCTTCCCTTCCAATCTCATCTTGTTTCAACCAGTCTTTCAGACGACAGACTTCATTTTATGATTTCCTAAATGAAGGGGATATTTATCATTCAGCAAATGTTATCGACTTTTTGAGATCGACCTTTTGCCTATTCATCACATCCGCTCCGCATTAGGCAATGATGAGGATACGATAAATTCTTTAGATAAAAAACCATCTTCTTTGCCTAGCAAGGTTCTCAAAAGCCGTTTGCGATCTTCTTGGCTTTAAGAACTCTTGTCTTTCCTTCTGCTTCGATCTTCAATTGTTGTTTTCTCGACCAGAACAGCCCCAGAATCTGGAGTACAGCTTGCGACTCACGACTCAAACGACCAGTCCATAAAGTGACTTTGATATCTTGAAGCTGAAGAGAAACCAAAATCCGTGGTAAGTTTGACATCTTATTACCAATTTCTTTTTGAACAGGTCGATATCAACAGAGCAGGAGTTGGACTATATACGACGCAAACCTTGCAAATCCATCTTGTTCATCTGAATTCGTATATGTATGGCTTCGTAGTCGGCGAACACTTCTAAAAAAAAAGCTTCCATGCAATTTCGAGAATGCTGGATGACCTTCTTGTCGCTCTATGCACCTTCTGAAGCTTTGCATGCTAATTGTTTGAGACCTCTGTAGAGAGCAAATCAACGGATATGGCCAACTGTCATCGTCGCATTGCCGCACTCCCATCGAGTCTTTTTTCAGAGGAAGATAATCATTTGAACTCGTCAAAACGGTCTACTTACAGGTATGAACGGGGATCAAACACGCAATGGCTAGTTGAGACTCTCCCAATTCTTGTTAAGAGGACTGCTCATCATTCTCCAACCTCGCGTGGCACAGCTTCTTCACCCCAAAAAGTTAGCAATTCGCCTTACCCGATATCGTCTCTGCGTAGGCCTGTCAACAATTCACCAGTTCCGGTCTCGTCTTCACGGTTCCGTCTTGGAAAGGAACCTGTGAATCTAAAGTTATCCTCACGCACCAGAATCAAAGATTCAAACAGTGCCCCTGCACCAAATCCCTCGTCCAAAGGTCCACCTTCGAATTTTCAATACACGAAAACCGTAGCTTCAACAGCACAAAAAATCCCCTCAAGTTCACCGGGATTGACCTCGTCCCTACTTCACACCGACAATAACAGAGACAAACTTCACCAAAGGCGTAATTTCCTGCCTGAATTGACAGCTCGCGACATTGAGTTCCTAGAAAATTCACGATCTTCTTCTCCAAAATTATCGACCGCGTCTTTGTCAAGACGAAACCAGGTTAGCAATTTACCATACTCAGCTTCATCCCCAAACATCAAAAAGTTGTCAGAATCCAATGAAAACACTCCGCCAGTTCCATTTGCTCCCAAAAGTGAAGTACATGAAAGAGTCTTGCATGGTCGTCGTGGATCTGCATATACCAACAACTACTACCCGCATCCACTTTACAGTAACCCTACCGTTGCTAGCTCTGTCTTAACTGCTTCTGCATCAAGTACGGATATTAGCCAACCACATTCTCAAAATCAGAGGATGCCAGATCGTGGCTCCTCAAGGATTCCAAGCCCCACATCAGGATCCAACTTGAAGTCTACTAGTCGTCGACATCTTCATTCTCCAGTGAGGAGAGCTATAGAAAAGGGAGAAGAAAGTCGGGCACGAAGACGGCACACTTCACCAGTTTGGGGGTTGCCACAAATTCAAAGCAATAAAACATCTCCTGCGGGATCATACCAAACTGCTTTCAAAATATCGGAGCGGTCCCCGGAGCCAAAACAGGAATCGACTTCTCTTCCCAAATCAAAAACGTTTGGTGTTTTTTCAACTCTCAAGAACTCATCCTCTATTCAATGGCTTCAAAGTAATCGCTCAACGTCAAACCTCACTCATTCTGCAGGCCCAACTATCTCGACAACAAAATACTTGCCGATTCCGGAGTTTACAACAAACACCCTCCAGGTTCATACTGCTCAGCCTTTTGCTTACTGGTGCGGTCGATTTCAAGCCGTGTCAGACCGATATCAGAGCGAAGATTTCCATGTCTGTGTCATCAATCCCCTTCCTGTTCCACGAGATAGCGATATCAAACGTGAGAAGCCATCCTCTCACTACAGACGCACCGGTAAAATACTCCGAGAAGCAAATTCTCCATCAAATTCTGATTCGCCGGCTTCATATTTAGACAGATCTCACAAAAAGACCCCAGTCAAATCATATAAGACTGTTCTCACCTTCTCAACTTCAGCACACTTTCTGGAAGATTTTGATAAACGAGCTCAGAAGGTCATGGTGTTTCTCGCATCATTGTGCTGCACAAGTCCGGCTAAGAAGAGTCTCAGGGAATGGCAAATTCAATATGCTACAGTAATGAAGAATAAAGCTCTAATGCCTAGAAATGATGCAGATGATAAGGGCTTCTTTGGGAGGATGGGGAAGGTTATTAGTGATGGTGTCAATGGGAACAAAAACGGTACAAATGGAAGAGTAATTGTAATGGGAAAGCGAAGCGCTTTTAGCCTCAGGAAAGGTGGTAGAAGTGCAGCGGAAGATCACTAACTATTACTCCAATTCTCGATGATCAAAGCTTGGATGTATTGGAAGCGAAGGTTGTCATGTTGGAATACTAATAATATGCTTAGTATATTTAGCTCTGGAGTCGTGGCAACAGGTGATGCCAAAATATTGATTTGAGGAACGACATTGGACTTTACAAATACAAATGAGCATAACAGGAGCTTGCAGGTATATGATGGTTCGATGAGACTTACTGATTATGAGCGATGCAATACGATACAATAAGATGAGATACGAGTCATGCGATACGAAATGAGAAACCACAATACGATTATTATGAGAACATCAAGATGCGCTACGAGATGGTTCACCATAGTACAATAAGATGCCATGGGAAAACAGGTTTTAAGGCATTGTTATAAATAGCTATAGTTGATTACTTCTGGGTTCTCAGTGAAGAGAGAAAAGAGCACCAGCAAAAGCAGCAGCAGCAGTAATAGTAATGAGAACGTTTGAGACTTCAAAATATTATCCTAATAATGGATTGGTGCTTGAATCCTCCCTACGAACAGTGATTTGGAAACAGTATTTGAAAGTCTATATACCAGTCAATTATCAATACTGAGCAAAGTCGGGTTTCAACATCTTCCTAGCAAAAAGTCGCATAGCCAATTGGCCTCTTAAAGTGCAATGCTCGAATCCTCGCTTACAAGCCCGCCAGCTAATGAAAAAAACTATGTCGGAGCTGGAGAATGGGTACTAATCACCACTTATAGAGCAGATTAATTCTACTCTTATTGATAACGGTGCAGTACTGAAGAGCAAGCGATGCCAAAGTAGAGAAATATAGGAAGAATTTGAGTAAATCATAACATAACACAAATAGCATTTTCAAAAGCTCCTAAAATGCAATACTATATACCACGCGCCATATCCAAATATCTAAAACAATCCTCAATTCCAATTACAGCGCTTCTGAAAACTCGTTCACTCGTGAGACCACCCCATCAACAACATTTCTTTCCATCCACCAACCTACTCTCTCCATCCGTTAAATTCAACACACTCTTCGCCTCCCCATCTTTACTCGCCGCCACACTGCTAGGGGTACTGCAATAACTAGGAGGCACATCCAACGCGGGATTCTTGGTAAAGAAATTTCTCGGCCTCAACAACAACGTCATGGGTTCCGCCGGCATGATGGGGAAATCCTCGGGACTGGGGAAGTGCGTAATGCCAAACGTGTGCCAGAGCACAATATCGGTATTCTGAATCGAGGCCTCGCCATTCGCGATCCACTCGGGCAGGCCCGCGCTGGGCTCGCCAGATGTCTGCGGGACGTGGCGTCCGGCCGGGTGCAGTTGGTCGTCTGAGTAGGGCGTCACGTGTACTGCGTGGCGGGCGAAACCGGCGCGTTTCCACACGAGCGAACCTTCTTTGGGGAGCAGCTTGGGAACTTCCCGACTGACGAGTTTGTAGGAGACGGGTTTGTGGGAGTAGGGGTTGAGTTTGTTGGGGTTGGCCATTTCCCATGTGCGCGAGGTGACGCCGTCGTAGTCGGAGATGGATTGGTTGACGGTTTTGTATTCGGTTTTTTGGGCGAAGAAGGCGTTGCCGTAGGGATTTTCGGGGGAGCCGACGGCGCCGGCGCCGGGGAGGGCGTCGGCTTGGAAGACGGTGTTGTTGGGGCCGTCGATGTTGGAGTCGATGCGCAGGCAGAACAGATGTTGATGATTGTGTGCGTTGACACCGGGGTAGACTTCGGTGCCCCAGCCCTTGGTGTCTTCGCCAGGGTTCATGGAATAGGTGTTCAGGATACCGGTGAGTTTGATTTCGAGTTGGATGGTGCCGTCTTGGTGGAAGATCCAGTAGACGCAGTATTCGTAGTTGGCGGCGGTGAAGATGTGGGAGATGATGAGCTTGCGGCCGCGAGTGACGATGACGGATTCGTCGCGGAAATCGGTGTGCTTGAAGAGGATACCGGCGTCTTCTTCGTGAATGCAGATGGCGTTTTTGATGGTGGTGCTTTCACCGGCACGGTTTACAAAGGCAGCGTCCTAGTTTGTCTATTGTTAGAAATGGCTGGGTATTTTTCATGCTGGAATGGATAGGACTGTACCATGTAATGAATTGCACCTTTGCAGTCACAGCCGAGGGAGAGACTGTTGGTCATGTATCCACCTCCATACTCTCCAAGGTCGAAAGCGTGTTTACGTTGATGTGGATGTTCGGGGTTACCATAAGGAACAACCATCTCAGCGAGAGAAAGCCTGTAGAACACAGGTCTGACAGTACCCTTGTCATTGTATGTAATGTTGTTGAGGACAATTCCTTCCTTGTAATTGAATCCGACATGGAAGTTCCAATTTTGCCAATTGAGCTCTCGACCATTGACCTTGAATGATACGCCAGATGGTTGTGTAATATTGATTGGGGTGATGTCTTTCCTGTACCCTCCTTCTTTTTCAATACTCGCTGGATGATAGTTGTTTGGCGCTGCCTTGTTAACGGGTCGTCGAACTTCAGGGATGTCAATGTGAATGATCTTTTGTTTTTCGGCATCGAAAATAGGACAGAAATCAAGGGGGAAAGAGTATTGAGAATCGTCCATGTGTGGTCGGTAATACATGAGTGCTTGTTGTAGACGAACGTTGTTGCCAAAGCGGTGGTCGTAACCAATGGTCCATGCTGTTATCGCTTAGTATAAGGGGAGTGAACGAGGGAAAATACAGGGGACTTACGATCGCAATACACTTTGTGCATATCTTCCGCTGGAATACCGCTCAACACACATTGTTCGATTACCTTGGGGTCTTTTCGAACAACATGCTCGACAGTTTGGAGATCTTCCATGGTGATCTGAATTTATTGTTAGCTTTTGCTTTCTCAGGATGGACAAAGAACATACCAAAGGTTGTACACCATCAATGTTTTCCCATTTCACCACTTTTCCCTCTGCCAGATCAACCAAACCATCGTACACCTTACCACCTGGCGCAATAACCACCACATCTGCGATTCTCTTTGGTCTTGGGACAACTTCTGGGGCCTCAAGCCATTTCATCATCTCCTTTTTGCGGGGTTCATATAATGTGATGGCATTGTAATGGACGGATCCCTTTTCAGCTCGGATAACCTGAACTGCTTTCTCAATTTCTGCGTTGGAAAGAGGATCGAATGGATGAGGTGGAGGAGAAGTCGCGGCGAGGTGATGTGCGAGGGATTGAAGTCTATTGGTAGCCATTCTGGCGAATTGTAGAAGTTAATTGGGAGAAGAAAACAACAAACAGATATCCAATTGAGACTATGGATTCTCTTTGAAGGGATTTCAGAATAAAATGTATCTTATACAAGAAGAAAAACAACAGAAAGTGGTATACAGAAAGAAAGGTGATGGGGGGACTGAAAGCTCCAAATATATATCGTCTACGAGTATCTCCACTGAACGTCAGGTACCTGTGCGTGAGCGGGACTTGGTATATCAATCGGGTCAAGACACGACAGACCAGCGCATGTAAGGTTTCTGAACTGGTATTCTCATTACATTTCTCAAGAGTATTGTGAGGTTATCGTATGGCTGGACAAATCCTAGCTCTTCCGATTCTATGACCGATGGCTCTGATAGCTGTTCCAACGAAATATGAAAGCTTGGAAAAGTGGATAGAGGGGTCCGATAAGCTTAAGATAAGATATTCTAACCCCAATTGGGTCATGGAATCCCGATCCACGTGATTGCGAAACGCCCTCGAAATGAGCTGTACGGATTAGGGATGAATTTCCGGAAGATTTCGTGTGGGCTGGTGAGAAATAGGAAAGTTTGATAGGAAAGTTCATTTGTCTCGTTTCGACAATGTGGTTGTACAAAAGATTATAGTCGATCCCGGAAGCCTTTGGCACAGATCGATCGAGGGAATAATTCACCGCAAAGACGTCGAACATCGCGCGTGGCCTTACTAATACTAGCGAAGGACAAATAATCAAGATATAGAGGGTTTACAAAAAGAGAAACATGAAAGACTGTTTTTCAAAGTTGTTTGCAGGTAAAATCGAAGTGACATGTTCAAGAGAACCACATTGGAAAGGTCAGGATTCAGAGCTTTTCGCCGTAGTTGTACAGGAAGACACGAAGACGATAGTCAAGTAGAACAGTACGTGTTGCAATACTAAAAAAGATCCCTAGAGCTCAATATGGTGCACACGAAGAAGTTCCTAACAAACATTGGGTCCAGATTCCAACACTTTTGCAACCCCCTGTGCCAAAACGTCATGCATAGGATAAGTAGGATGCAATGAGTTCAACCAGAAATACTCGTTGACAGGTATGTAACAAGATGGGTCGCTATAGTTTGACGTCGGTGTACCACTGCAGTAATTTGGTTAGCAGGTTAAAATCAACCGAGTAATGAAGGGAATAGCTTACTTCTCGTACGCGACGCAATAAGCAGTGGTATTGTGGTAGACAGATGTCTGAGGAAAGCTCTTCGGATTATCTAAGACTTTGGTAAATAGGGCATTAGCGTCAACCGTGAAGACATTGACATCTGTGAAGGTTTTCTTGAGGCTCTGGGCAAGTGCCGTAAGTCGGTTATTCCAATCGGCAATATCAAGCTTTTCCTGGGCTTGTGCTGCAGCCCCACCAGCAATTGACAATGGGCTCCTATCCACAGGTGGAACATTCAGGAATGCAAAATTACGAGCGCCAATGTAGTAGAGCTCATCTACTAGACCGTGATAAACTGCCATGATACGTTCGTTGAGGTTTGCAGTTGCCGGAGCTCCAAGGAAATACGAATTACCAACATCGTTGATGCCGTCGAAAATAGCGAACAGGGTATTTCCAGACGACCATGGAGCTATGTCTGCCTTTCCTGCGTAGGTGGGGAAGAACTGATTCTCGATTTGATTGGCAATAGATGAAACTTCTGGTTCATAAGGTGCTACAAGATCGGAGTTGACGGTGGCCCCTCCATACGCCAAATTATACGTTAACACAGTAGATTTGTTGTATTTGACTGTGAGATAATCTACCCAATTTGGACCATTGGAAGAAGTATAGCCTAGCAGAAGTCAGAGCTACTTAGAGGCATATCAAATCGAAGGTCTTCTAACCTGGATATGTAGGATTTCCAAGTGGATTGGTAGGTGTTGGCTGAGTACCATTCGTCTCGAAGCCAGTCTGCGTGTAAGAGTCCCCACTAGTATAATCAGTATGCGTATCCCACACCATTGTTCGGTAAATTTCTCACAAGACGAATGCATATTGGAGTTTGTTCCAACCTGGCCAGTGTGAGGTTGCTGAGCAGTATTTTTGAGTATCCTGGGCTAATGGTGCTCCTTGAACGGAAGCGAGAAGAGATGCGATAGCAAGCACAGTTGTCAAGCGTAACGAAACCATCTTTGCAAGACTTGTCAAGAAGCCTACGATTTGGGTATTGAAAGTATGAAGGTCTAATTAATGATGTTGAGAGAAGAACAATGTGTATCACTTAATTCAAAAGACCACGGCCTGCTGAACTTTCCGAGAGCAAGAATATAGAAGTAGACATGTTCATAGACTAGAATGGGTAGATATATAAAAACTGCGATTGTATCCTCTGAATTGATTCCTTGCAACGCAGCGGGGAACAAGTCTACAACTAACCTTTTGTAGAGTATAAATCGCATGAATTGCTTTGTACTCCGAATGGCAGACGGAACATCTCGTTCCGCTGCCGGTTGAAGGCCAAGCTTCTCCACGATGTATTTTGCATGCGGGGAAGATCTAGCACCCGCCTGCGTCATGAGATTAATTCGCCAATAATAATCTGAATGACAACTTAACCGGTGGGGTTCGAAATAACTCTATTCACCTTGTGAAGGAAATCAAACCTTGCTATTCCGGGTGATTGAAGAACGGAAAATTTTACGATATGCAAGTGGAACTATATAGATGTCCGAAGCTGGTTGATGGATGGATGGCGATTTGAACATGCGCAACCGTTGGAACATTGTCATATATTTGAGGCGATGCGATGTAGAAGCTATTGGATGATGTTTACAATATGATAACACAATCCTCGATTCTTTGGTTGAATTATCCAGTTCCGAATAAGATTCACAGAGTTTGTCACTCGAAGAACATCAAGAATATCAGATACAGTATATTCGTAGGAGAAAAAACAGGATGAATTTGACCAGTCAATTATCCGTTGAAATCATTCGAAATAAATGAATTATAAATTATAAATTAACTAGAAATGAACAGGTGAGATATATGTGTCCAAACAGATCAGAGGGTTTATTAGCTTCTAAGCACTTAAATTGTATTTGAAGAGAAGGCCTCATCTCAATCAATATTCGAGGGAAACAATCGAGTTCTCAAAAGTGTTATCGAGGTGGTCAAATTCCGACTCGTCTTTTACGAATAGAGAGTGTCTTATCACTCCACCATCGGAACATTCTCGGGTAGAAGCCCATTCTTGGATCAAATCATTGAATTGAATGGATTTGATGTTTTGCGAGGTGTGGTATAATCTTAGGTAGTTTGTAAAATGTCGACCTGGTCAGCTGATGATGACTGAATGAATCAACGATGGCACGCTGTAGCAAAAGCCTTCCACGATTGACTCGTTATGACCAAATGCTATTCGCTTTACCAAAATTGCTTTCTGCACGAGAAAGAACCCCCAGTGATATCGAAGGGGCCCCCTCTAAGATCTCAATTGTGGACTTCCAGAGTATCAGAGGCCTTTGATCACATTCTTTTGATGTATCACACGGGGCGATTGACTTCAATCACAGATGGTTCTTATTGATGCAGACGGTGATGGAGGGTGATATTCTCAGATCCACGCAGGATTCTCCCAAGTAGTATTTGAAGTACGTCCAAATCGAAGAAGAGCTAACGTTTGCGTTCTTTCTTTTGTTGAACACTAATAAATAGTGGGATGGGACGGGCCGGATAGAAGTGTTGCCATAAGTGCGACTCTAGTGCTGTAGGAAGAAGGAACTTGGACTATCATGCCTAGGTGCGTGTTTGTAATGCTTCTAGGTGAATACATGTAATCAATCATACTTGAGATAACCAATCGAGTCATGTGATGGTAGTTGGGTGTTGATAAACTTGTCTAGATACACGTCAATGATTGCTAGAAGGATTCAACTCAGAGATGCCGGTAGCTCGAAATCTGGGCACCACTTCAGGTAGCTGCTTATATTATCAGATGAATAGAATGAATATACGTTCATTTCCCAGAAGATGAAGAACTCATACTTCTTATGCTTTGTAATACATACGTAGCCAGTGTTTGGGATATCATGTCAGATATATTACATGCTACCTGGTACTTACTCGGTATCGATACTCGGGCATAAGATTCAAAAGTAATTAATCTGATCGCCATCTACGTCACCTGGGCCAAGAATCTCTGCCCACAAGGGACGGTAAGGAAACCCTTGGGTAAAGCCCTGTGCCTTGTGGAACCCATTTCACGGATAATACCTAGGAAGGATGATAGTAGTGGGGGATATTCTCTGATCACTGCCGGCGAACAATGCAAATGCAAATGAGAATGAGAATGAGAATGAGAATGAGAATGAGAATGACAATAAAGATAAAGATAAAAATTCCATGCAAAGGGGAAGAGAGAGGATATACGGAGGAACACGAGATAGGTGTGTCTAGTATCTACCCAGTGGATATATACTAGGTACAAATATACACATCGTCCATCGTATTCGAGGCATAATCAAATTAGATGTTGCATAGACCAGAAAGGCCGCCAATACTACACAATTCGATACTGTTCCAGACAATGTACATACATACACACATACATACATACTTGACCACTGTAAATCAATAGATCAAACGCAAGACAACGAAGCACACCTATACAGTTACTCGGGGAAAGTTTATACTCCATCAACATACATCCACCCACATACATCCACATACATCCACATACGAAGTACATACACCTACTAGGGCTAGGGGGGGAGAGAGAGGATCTTTCTATCCATTCAGAATCCTTTCACGTGTAATGATCTCCTTGGGCAGCAAAGGTGCATCGGTACATACCAGATATCATCAACCCAATGATATTGCTTAATACGAAGTCAACATTCTGTAAACCACGAGTGAATCCTTGAATCCTTGAAGTTACAAAATCCTTGAATCCTTGAATATTTTCGTCACTTTAACCTGTTTGTGTTAACTTTGCACCGCTTTGCACGCTTTGCTCATAATCTTTCGATTCCAACCTC